CAAGGGAGAAGGAGACGGAAGAAGGAGGAAGGGAAAAGGTGCGAGTGAATCAAAAGGGAGCGTAGAGGTTTGGGAACGCTTCTATTAAAAGAAAGCGCCAGGAAAAATGGATATGAAATGGTAATGAGTAGTAGATGAGGATTGTAAAGGTTCGGGAACGCTCCTATCAGAAAAAAACGCGGCATATGTAACATATTATAACATATAGCTAGAAGAATAGAGGAAGAATGTAAAGGTTTGGGTACGTTCCTTAAAAGCGCCTTTAATCCCTAAAGGGACAAATAAAGCAATAAATGAATGAATAAAGTTAATTATTAAAATTTTTTATTTATTAAATTAAATTATAGATAAATTTAAATAGAATTAAATTTAATAAAAAGGAAAAAGTAAAAAATCATTAAAAATTTATGTAGATTTTTTAAATTTGATAAAAATTTCATAAATCATTAGGATTATATATTATTAAATATTTAATAATTAATAAATTTCATATATATTTTTTAAATATATATCCTAATAAAATCATAAAAATGAAAAGGTCAGGCCATGTTCAAAAGAAGGTACTCAAAAATTTAAACGATCTAATAATAAATTATCACGAAAAGTAACTGATATGTTATTCAAGGTGCCAGTTCAAAGTGAACATACGTAAAGTGTATATTATCTAAATTTAGTAATAATATATTACCATGAAAAGTAACTGTGATATTTTATTCAAGGTGCAAGTTCACATTGAATATACATACATATAAGTAAAACTGATTACAATTTGATTCTAGAAAATAAGTGCGATATGTTATTCTTAGTGCACAAAATATAATAGTCGTTTATAGAGATTTGATTTGAAATTCATACTAGCCCGTACAATGAAAAATAATTGCTCGTAATTCCAGAGTACCAATTTGTTAATGATTCAGAAAAATAACATGGCGGCCTGCTCTCAAAAAACTATGATGTTTCTCGATGTCCATTTAGAAATAATGTCGAAGCTCTTACAGAATAATTACTACAACATTTGAAATACGAAAAGTATTACATTAGAAGAAGATTAGATTAGAATAAGGATTCAACGTATTTTTAAAAGCTCTACACACACAACGAAGTGAATATACAAAACTATATACAAATATCTTTTTCTTCTGTGTTTCTGAAGAAAATTGTAAGTCAAATGAAACCTTGCACTTTGAGAACCATGTCACTTACTTTTCAGAGTCAAATTGATAAATTTTTTTTGTATATTTTAATGATATTTATTTCTCACTTGTATCTTGAATAATTAATATGTAATTTTTTATTGTATATTACGACAAATAATCAGTAAACTTTTAAGCGTATAGCTTTATTGTAGTTGACCTGAGAACTGTACATTTATAAATTTTACTTAATATACACCCGTTTCGAGCAACAAGGCAAAGTTTTCTGATCAATAACTTACTCCCTGAAAATACGGTATAACACAAATCGGAAGTTGATACGAAAATTCGAAATTTTACTAAAGAAAGATTGGAGGTTTTTAATTTATACAATTTTCACAACTCTTATTTCAATTATTTATTCTACCCATCGAAAGTTTTTTGAGAGCAGGCCGCCATGTTATTTTTCTGAATCATTAACAAATTGGTACTCTGGAATTACGAGCAATTATTTTTCATTGTACGGGCTAGTATGAATTTCAAATCAAATCTCTATAAACGACTATTATATTTTGTGCACTAAGAATAACATATCGCACTTATTTTCTAGAATCAAATTGTAATCAGTTTTACTTATATGTATGTATATTCAATGTGAACTTGCACCTTGAATAAAATATCACAGTTACTTTTCATGGTAATATATTATTACTAAATTTAGATAATATACACTTTACGTATGTTCACTTTGAACTGGCACCTTGAATAACATATCAGTTACTTTTCGTGATAATTTATTATTAGATCGTTTAAATTTTTGAGTACCTTCTTTTGAACATGGCCTGACCTTTTCATTTTTATGATTTTATTAGGATATATATTTAAAAAATATATATGAAATTTATTAATTATTAAATATTTAATAATATATAATCCTAATGATTTATGAAATTTTTATCAAATTTTAAAAAATCTACATAAATTTTTTAATGATTTTTTACTTTTTCCTTTTTATTAAATTTAATTCTATTTAAATTTATCTATAATTTAATTTAATAAATAAAAAATTTTAATAATTAACTTTATTCATTCATTTATTGCTTTATTTGTCCCTTTAGGGATTAAAGGCGCTTTTAAGGAACGTACCCAAACCTTTACATTCTTCCTCTATTCTTCTAGCTATATGTTATAATATGTTACATATGCCGCGTTTTTTTCTGATAGGAGCGTTCCCGAACCTTTACAATCCTCATCTACTACTCATTACCATTTCATATCCATTTTTCCTGGCGCTTTCTTTTAATAGAAGCGTTCCCAAACCTCTACGCTCCCTTTTGATTCACTCGCACCTTTTCCCTTCCTCCTTCTTCCGTCTCCTTCTCCCTTGTCTTCAATTCCTCCTTTTTTCCTGGCAGGCATGTGGGGTGATTGGCCCTACTTGGATTCGAACCTGGGACCTTGGTCATACTGTCTTATGACTTAACCCACTGGTCTACCATTTCACCCCTAATTAACTTTACTATTATTCATATATTATTCATATTTATCCCATTTCCTTTAAAAATATATTTATTTTTAAGTAATTTTTATATTTTATTAAATAATAAATTATTATTTATAAATTAATGATATGCCTGAAAAAGGATTATTTTGATAGAATAAATCATACATTTCAATTTACCAGATATGGTTTTAATTTAATTTTATTAACAATTATTTCTTTATTTACTCATGATCTTATAATTATCTGATTTTTTATAGAAATTAATAATTATATATTTATTTGTTTTATATGTATAGAAATAAAATTAAAAAAAAATATTTTTTTATTTTATATAATTCAGGTATTAGCTTCACTTCTTTTTATTTTTCTATTAATTATTAATAATTTTTTCTTAATTAATAATCAAAATATTTCAACTTTTAATTTTTATTTAACAATAATTTTAAAACTTAAAATTCTACCTTTTCATTTATGAATAATTTTTTCTTTTTTTTTTTTTTAAGTCAGGAAATTTGCTGACCAAACATCGCCGTCCCGACCCTTGAGAGCTTTGTGGTGGATTCCCGCCCTATCCCGATGGATTATCGGACGGGAGACCGACCTAAAACCTGACTATAGCCCCTGGTCGTTAACAGGTATTGTCCACCGCGGAACCGCTCACGCATTACTTCACGGTGGACACCCATGACCTGATCCTGTAAAAGGACACATCCCCGGGTAACATTGTTGACCCGTCCAATACCCTCACCCTGAAAGGGTAAAGAGGAGTAAGCCGGGCTATTAGCTCACCCCCGACCATCCCGAGGCCAACGTGCAATGCAATTGGAGCCCCCACTTCTCTCCCTGCCGACCTGGGTGGTGAGATGACCGCAGTCATCAACCCACATAAATTGACGTCACAGGACATCACGAACTCAACGTGTACAATACATAAATGTATACACAACCACAATAAATAAAGACCAAATAAGGGCCACAGGCCCGGCTCCTAAAACGGCACAATGGCCATCCACAAACGAAAAGGTAGGAAGATGGACATCCACCTAGAATATACGAAACATAACACAACATTGAATTGGCGGGGGCGGAGAGGTCGCGGAGTCGTCTCACGGCAACCTCCCCGGAACTTCCCGCAACCCGCCGCTACCTATTAAACAGAAAACTTACTTAAGACAGAGGGCGTAACCGGACCAGAAGTCCCCATTTTACTAGGGAACAGCACGGCCGCAGTCCTCATAGCAACATTAGACAACTACTACTCTAACATAAACGCTGTCGGGGCGCAGAAGGAAGCCTCAGACGCGCCTCTCAGCACACTCCACCGCCCCCCCCCCCCGCACTCCCCGACGAGCCCAATACTGGGCTGTGAACTTTTTCTTCAATCCCCCCGTCAGGGCGCCCCGGAGCCTGCCTACGCTTGGAGGTACCGCTTTCCCTACCTCCATCTGACCTACGAGGGTACGTATTTTTTGGCACACGCACTCGAACCCGCACGATAATTCGCCTGCTTCCCGCTGATATCGCAGGACACACAGTGGGGCGGCGCTTCGCATTTAGCTGCCAAATGCCTCTCTTTCCCACATCTAAAGCAGCAATTGCTGCGAACGATCTCAGAGCCACATCTATTGGACGAGTGTCCAAAGGCATGGCATCTGTAACATTGTATGGGACGACGAGCCAACGGAGTAACCGTCAGCCTCGTCCACCGCATATCAATGCTACCCAAAACCCCTAGCTTGCGCGCAGCTCCAGCCGAACAACGGATCCAGAGAGACCCAACTCTAGATTTAGGAGACATACGAATCTCCCCCGCTTTTAAGTCAGCGACATCACATTCACCTGATGCAGCCACTAGGCCAGCACACTTTTTTTCTTTATTAAAATTATTGGGGATGTTGTAACGTTCAGCAAAATCGAATGCTTCGCAGCGCACTTGAAAAAGTGTCTATAAATTTATATATATATAATTGTGACTTGATAGACGTATATTATACGTATGTAAAATGTATATATAATGACATATTATTAATGACTGAATAGATGTATATTATACGTATGTATAATATACATAAATTATGCATTATTTACTACTAATATACATATATAATATACATATATATATATATATATATATATATATATATTTGAGATTATATACTACGTATACGTAAAATGTACTTATGCTGACATATTATTGATGACTGATAGATGAATGTTACACGTATGTAAAATATACATAAATATTGCATTAATATACATCTATTACAATTAATATTCTTATACAACCGCCTTCTGGAGACCATCCCGGTCGAGCATCAGCTGGGCGGGACGACCGGCGCGCGGCTACCAGCAGACGAGCACTAATGCTGGGTCTCCGCTGGAATCCGCACGAGGACACCTTCTCGCTGTCTGTCCGGCTGACTCCAGCGGCCCTACCGACCAAGCAGACCGTACTGGCACAGACCGCTCGCCTGTTCGACCCGCTGGGCTGGCTAGCACCGATTCTCGTACGTGCGAAGTTGCTGATCCAGTCGGCGTGGTTGCAGCAACTAGAGTGGGACGCGCCGCTATCATGCGAGGACGCCGCTGCATGGACAGTCCTCGAGGAGGAATTGCCGTCGCTGGAGGAGATCCAACTGCCACGCTAACTGCACAGCGACACACCATACAGCTCCGTGGAGCTCCACGGCTTTTCGGATGCCTCCGAACGTGCTTACGCTGCCGTGGTCTACAGCAGAGTGAAAAGTGGCAGACTGCTCAGCATCAACCTAGTGGTCGCTAAGAGCAAGGTGGCCCCGTTGAAGCGTGTATCGCTTCCGCGACTGGAACTCTGCGGAACGGCCTTTCTGTCCAAACTAGCCGAACATGTGCGGCTCTCCTTGAATCTGGAGAAGTCGACGATCACCCTCTGGACGGATTCTACTGTGACGCTTGGCTGGATACGTGGACATCCTTCAAAATGGAATACATATGTAGTTAACAGCGTTGCAGAAATTCACCGCGACGACCAGGATGCAAGATGGCGGCACGTACTTGGTAAGGAGAACCTTGCAGACTGTGTCTCCCGGGGAGTGTCGCCGAAGAAGCTCCTTCAACATCCTCTGTGGTGGCGAGAGCCGGAATATCTCCGCCATCGCGCGGACTTTTGGCCGAAGGACGTCGGACACCTGGAAACGGCTGACTTACCGGAGCAGCGACCGTTACGATGCCATGCAGCCACCGAGAAGCGAGAACCTGAGGAGCTCAACCGCTTCTTCTGCCTTCGTCGCTTGCTTTGCGTGTCAGCCTGGATCTGGCGCTGGAGGCCACGAAGACTTCGTTCGACAGATGGTGAAGCTGTGTCGGCGTTCCTGGGACCTAAGGAGCTGGAGGCCGCCCTGTCGAGATGGATCCGGTTAGCTCAGGAGTCGAGTCATACCATGCAGAGCTGCGGGACATCCGTGCTGGAAGGACGCTGCCTGCCCGAAGCTCGCTCCGCAAGATGGTTTTCATGCTGGATGACGAGGGCACCCTGAGAGTCAGCGGGCGCCTAAAACATGCAATTTTGGATGCCGACCAACAACATCCAGTCATTTTGCCGCCGCAATCTCACCTGACTCACCTGGTGATTGACGCCGCCCACAGACGTACATTTCACGGAGGAGTCCAGGCCACCTTAGCTCACATCAGGCAACGATTTTGGATTCCGCGAAGACGCCAACTGGTTCGCCGCCACATCCACAGCTGCCACCCATGCGTCCGATGGCGGGCGGCTACTCCACGGTCAAAGATGGGCGACCTGCCGAGAGCGCGCGTCACTCCGAGCCGTCCATTTCAGCACACCGGCGTGGACCTCGCCGGCCCGGTGTGGCTCAGAACGACGAGAGGCCGAGGACACAAGGCCTACAAAAGCTTCCTAGTTGTATTCGTGTGTTTCAGCTCCCGCGCCGTACACCTTGAGGCCGTCAGCGACTACACCGCCGAGGCATTTCTAGCGGCCTTTCGTCGGTTCGTGTCTCGACGAGGGCACAGTCGTTTACAGCGACTGCGGCACTAACTTTGTAGGCGCGGACCGACAGCTCAGGGACCTCTTCAAGGCTGCTGGCCGTGAGATCCACACTATTGTCGGGCACCTTGCAGACCGAGGAGTACGGTGGAGCTTCAATCCACCGGCAGCTCCACACTTCGGCGGCCTGTGGGAAGCAGCTGTCAAGGCTGTCAAGCATCACCTGCGACGCACCATCGGCGAGGCCAGACACCTCTGAGGAACTGTCGACGTTTCTCACAGAGGTCGAGGCCTGCCTCAATTCAAGGCCGTTCGAGGCCTTGACTGACGACCCGGACGACCTCGATGCCCTGACGCCTGAGCAATTCTTGGTGGGAGACACTCTTTTCGCCATCCCGGAGCCGTCACTCCTGGACTTCCCAACCAATCGGCTGAATCGGTGGCGTCTCCTGCAGCAGATGCGGGACCACCTGTGGCAGCGGTGGACCCGCGAGTATCTGCAGTACCTCAGCCCGCGGCCCAAATGGTGGGCCACTCGTGGAGCCATTCTCGAAAGCCAGTTGTGCCTCGTCAGGGGCGAGAACACCTTGCCGTGCCGGTGGCCGCTTGCTCTGGTCACGCGCGTGCACTGAGGCAATGGTCCGCACAATGGTCCGCAGCATAACGCATGCGCGGATTTTGAACTTATCATAGATGTTTATTAGACTTATATCATTCGTCATTAAATATGCATTTCATAAATATGTAATATGCTTATAATAGTCATATATAATATGTTTTATACATATAGAAAAGAAATTTGTGAAATATTTCTAATAGATGTCTATTAGTTGTAAATAATTAATATATCGTATGTATATTCATTAAAAATATTATAGATGTGTATTAATTGAAAGCAATATTGAAATGTAGTTTTAAATAATTTTTTTTTATAGATGTATATTAATTGTAGAAAATACGTCATTATAAATGTAATTAATAAATATGCAATATTATTTTAAGATGTTTTATATTTTATAATATACGTACATCTAAATGTATATGTGTATAAATATATGTATATCTACTATACGTATGAAATTCATAATAAAACACGTGTATATAATGATATACAATTACAGCTTATATATATATATATATATATATATATATATATATATATATATACACAGGGTGTCCGGTAATGGTCGCCTCAACCGTCGTGTGCAGGTAGAGTAAGTTAAACCGAATAGGAAAGTCCTCTACCGTTTTGCGATTTTCGCAATAATTATTGTGTTATTAAAATAAAAAAGATCGGCCAATCTAAGCGCGCGACGAGATGAGGATGGCCCCCTGTCACACGATACACGGCGCGCGGCAAAGCGGAGGAGGAGCGAACGCGATGGCTACGAACGGCGCGTAACGCTAAAGCTCCGCGACAACTATTTTCTCTCTTCCCTTTTCATCTCACTTCTTTTCTATAATATTTTTATTATAGTAAATATTAATCAGAAAAATTCTTATAAAATTCTTTCAATACCATTGTCCCACGATTACCATCATTTTTAGAGTAAATTTTAAGAAAAAATTTTCTCTGTGTAGTATTCGAATACATCCTATCAAAATTTTACGTTTTTTAAAATAATCAATAAATGATAATAATGAGAGAGGGAGAGAGAGAGAAAGAGAGAGTGAGTGAGTGAGTGAGGAACGTTTCATTTATGATAATAACGTTCCTCACTCTCTCTCTCTCTCTCTCTCTTTTTTCTCTCTCTCTCTCTCTCGTTATTATCATTTATTGATGTTCCGGAACCGTTGAAAATAATTGAGAGTCTCCGCGAAAAGTTAAATGTCGCGCGATCAAATATATTGAGAACCATTCAATCGTCGCATTAGCGAATCACGAATTTCCACGCGACCGAGGCATAGCGCGTAGCGATCCTTCTCACACCTCTTTGTAATTCGCATTCGCGGTCCCTTTTCGCCAACTCAAGTGCGCGGTGTATCGATTAGGATCTGTCGCGCACCCCCGTTTATGCCTATCTGAGTCGCTAATATCCTTCCTCGTTTCCCGTTCCTTCTTGTTGTTCCGGCTCTCAGTGTATTAACACATTGCCTCGTTATTGGAAATTCGTATCACGCGTTGTTCACATAATCCTTCGAGTTACGAAAGGGATTCTTTTCCGCCGGTCATCGGCAAAATTTGTAGAATATTGTGCAAGCGATATTTCCATTATTTCAGTTTTATTTGTGAAATACATGCATAGTTCGGCTGCAATTACGACCGCATGTATCACCACGTGCTCCGACATTACGTGTTCCGGAGACTCTCAGAGACCTCGATCTCGCGAACGGTGCATCGCGCATCCGCGTTCGGCTCTTGATCGCTGCGATCTTTGTAAAAATTATCGCGAGAAGATTTCCGTCGAGTACGCGCTCAGCAATTACGATCAAGCACAAGATGTCCGTCCGTTCTCGTTAAAATTGATTGTCCACCGTTCGTCAAGTGTGTCTAATTCGAACTCGAAACTTTAGTTTTTTTTGTGAAAGATCAAATAAACATTTTTTTAACCATATTCTCAGCTGTTAACAATAACCCATTCTTCCCTCTATTCCCGATCAAAATTAATTTAATCAGTGCATTCCGCAACAATTGATTATTTTAAAAACGTAAATTTTAATAAAACGTATCCGAATACTACACATAAAAAATTTTCTCTTAAAATTTACCCTGAAAATCATGGTAATCGTGGGACAGTAAGGTACTGGAAGAATTTTATAAGAATTTTTCTGATTAATATTTACCACAATAAAAATATTAATATCTACCACAATAAAATAAAAAATGTACTCGATTAATTTTACTATGTTCATATTAATAATTTTTAATGTAGTAAATATTAATCAAAAAAACTCTTATAATATTTTTCCTACACCATATTATCCCACGATTACCATGATTTTCAGGATAAATTCTAATAAGAGAAAATTCTCTCCGTGTATGGTGTGATTTGCATCAGACTCTTATTTTGCTTTGTATGCATGTTAAATTTTAATGAGATACATCGTCGAAAATGATGTCAATGCGATTATTAATTTTTCAAAACTGTACTTTACAATAATTAATCAAGATGCCATTTTGAAAATAAAAAGATTCGTTTTTAGTAAAGAAAGTGAGATGAAAAGGGAAAGAGAGAAAATAGTTGTCGCGGAGCTTTAGCGTTACGCGCCGTTCGTAGCCATCGCGTTTGCTCCTCCCTCCGCTTTGCCGCGCGCCGTGTATCGTGTGACAGGGGACCGTCTCATCTCGTCGCGCGCTTAGATTGGCCGATCTTTTTTATTTAATAACACAATAATTATTGCGAAAATCGCAAAACGGTAGAGGACTTTCTTATTCGGTTTAACTTACTCTACCTGCACACGACGGTGAGGCGACCATTACCGGACACCCTGTATATATAAGGGAGAATGGGGAAATTGCAGTCAGTAAGAATTATTTTTTATTTTCAGAAAAAAATGTCTTTAAAACCAAAATGGAATAGTTGACGGATACTTCATCAATCATTCTTCGAAGATGGAAGCATAAAAGTTAAGAAAGGTAATATATAATTAGGCCTGCATTGATTAAAAGAAATCTCTGACTTGACCACAATTGACCGACGTGTTGGGTAATTACGGTCGCCTCTTGGGGTAATGCTAGCTGGTTGCTAGCAGGCAGGATTCGGTGGTATATTTTGATTACGAGCTTGAAATCCATAGAACCAATTTACGCCAGGACACCTTTTTTCTTTATTAAAATTATTGGGGATGTTGTGACGTTCAGCAAACTCAAATGCTGCACAGCGGACTTGAAGAGGTGTCTGTCTATATACATATATATATATATATATATAGTTAAAAATTAAGATAAGTGAGCTTAAATAAGATTATGTTTTTATTAATTCACATAGTTTATATATACAAGTAAAAATGTTTGCACATATAACGTTTAAATATATAATATAAAACACACGTATATATATATATATATATATATATATATATATATATATATACGTGTTTTATATTTATAATTATTGAATAAAGACATTTTAGGCTCACTCACCTCAAATTAAATGTAAGACAGAAGTTGCATTTTTTAAAATTAAAGGCTGTGTAATAAAATAGATAAATACTACAAATACGAATTTATTTTATTGTTGCCGTTTAGAGGTAGTATCAGTACTAGATGCTCAACCATTTTATTGTTATCATTTGAAAGTTTAATTGTTAGCACATAAGTCTAAATGATGTAAAACGTACATATAATGAATAAATAAATATATTATGTAATTATATTTTGTTATATATTTTTTTCTTTTAAAATTTAATTTAAACGTTATTTTTAAGCAATTATTTTAAGGCAATTCTAAAATCATTATAACGTCATACTATTGTCATCTAATGACGTAATATTATTGTCATCTGATGACATCATACTGTTGTCATCTGATGACGTCATACTGTTGTCATCTGATGACGTCATACTGTTGTCATCTGATGACGTCATAC